AATGGCCGCGCGGGCCGGTCAAGAGTGAGCGCTACTGAGTTTCCGACTGATGAAGAAGCAGCAGCTATTGCAGACGAGGCTGATGTAATTATCAGATCGCTGGAGAGCAGGGTCGCCAAAATGGAGAAGAGTGATGCGAGTGCTCTAAATGTTGTTCCATACCGATTAGATTCGCTTAGACTCCAGTAGCCTGCCACATGGTGATGTTTTGGTGCGAACTTGGAATATTTCGGACTACTCAATTGGAGAACAGTGCAGGCTCTTTGAACCACGGGCACGACTCTTCGCTCGCAACGCTATGGAATCTGAAAGTTCTAGGTCCGAGAGCTGTTCGCTGTTTTGTTACTTGTCACGGTTGTGCACTCATCGCTGTAGCATAAAATAATGAGGCGCCGCGGGTGCGGAAAACTAAAATTTTCTTTCTCAAAGCACAACCACCCGCACCGGCAAGGAGAAACGCACGTTCTCTGACTACATGACTGTACAATACGACTGATACGAGTGTAGTACATGACAAGTCCGTGTGTTGACTAGTTTTCTGAGTCTTGTGTCAGATGTGACATGAGTCTGTTGACTGCACTACACTCTACAGCTAGATAACACACTGGACGCACTCACGCAGCGCAGAGCGCATAGACCATGTACCATGTGTACCAGGGAGTAGTAAAATACAGTGTATTTTACTACTCCCTGATGTGTACTGTGTGATGTAGACCTGGTAGACGGGCTAACGGAAAAGTCCAACTCGGAAACGGCTAAAATACGGTATAACCTCCAGGTTTACCGAGCTGAAAATCACAGGGTACGTAGTGTTTGTAACACTGAATCGAATGGTCTTGGTCCGAAGAAGCTGCGATAAACGGTTCCCCAATCGAACGCGCTCCGAATATGGCCATTTTTGTACACAACTACAGTAGATAGTGTGGCTACCTGGCTGCACGCTGTGACGTCATCACCTGGATCTGGGTGATGCGCGCTCAAATTCGCACATGTTCGATTGGGCGTATCTGACGAACCATAAGCCGCAGCCTCCTCGGACAAAGACCATTCGACTCAGCGCCCCAAACTCTACGGACTGTGATATTTAAATTTTTCACCGGACTTCCCCTTTAACGGGTCAGTATCATAACTGACATAAGTAGTCTGTAGTACTGTAGGTACATGTACAGTCCGTATCGCCCAGGTTGGCGGCTATAGTAATATACCGGATATAGTGATCAATTTCTCAAATTCATTTTCATTTGCCATAACTAAGTATACACAGTTATCGCGTATAGTAATAATCGTCTATAGTAATATATCGCCTATAGTGATCAAATTCTTATTTCAAAAGACCTTTATTACATTATTATTGCATCGGTTATAGTGATTGATGTAAAATCAAGTGATGGCAGAGGAGAACAGGGTGTTACTTCTTCGTGAAGAACTTGTCCAGTGAGTGTCGTTTGGTGAGTTTAGCTCGTACAAGTAATTAGTTGTCAAAATATGCCTCCATCATGAGGAAATCCTGATTTTTGTGTCAGCAGCTACAGCCAGCTACATGGCATTGTACATGTAAGTAGTGTGTATGTGCATGGCGCGCCGAGTCGTTTGACACCCCACTCGCATACATTGCATGCAGTATCGGTCATAGTAATATATCGCTTATATGATAAAATGCTCAAAATCAAACACCAACGCTATAGGCGATACTGACTGTATAATAATTTATGTACAATCATGATGATTGTGTTCTTGCTGCTCCATTTTGATTGATGCCGCTTTTTGAGCCTGTTCCTCCTATCGTAGATCAGCGCAAGTAAGTACTGACTGTCACGGTACAAAAGTTAGTTAGATCAGCCCGCAACTACTGTACTTCGGCAAGTCAGGAACTGCCTAGGAAATACATGATTGTGACGCGAAGTAACGTTATTTCGGTAGTTAGGTTTCCGACGCGGCTGTATAATTATAGATTTGTATTGATACGTGCATCCGGTAGACGGTCGCACGACTCCCCATGGCCCAGTTGCCAGGCCATACCAGTGCTGGCCCTGCTGGGACCAATGTCCATCAACGTAACCCGCTACTTCGCCCAAGTAAAGGAGCCTTGTGCGAAGCAACGTCTAGCGAGGGATCTTTTGTAGATCTACATGACAGCATCCACTCATGCATGGACACCCTGGTATGGGGATACTCGTGTATTTTGTTGTACTTTATTTGGCCACTTGCAACTAAGTTACTTGCAAGTACGAAAAAAGGCACAATTTTCCGAACTTTGAGGCTCCATAAGTAAAGTACAACAAAGTGAATAATTATATCCCCTGCAGCCTGGTGCCAAAGCATAATACACTGTATGAGGATTTTACGAGCATAATGCGAGAATCCATGAAAGCATACATGTAATTCCATGATTTCGCGAGCATAATCCGCCGGAGCCTAATCCACTGTCTCAGGTAGGGCCCGGTGTAATATGCCCGAACCTTTGCCGAAAATGCTTTTGGGAAATTCTCGTAAACCATGCCGAAAATGCTCCCAAACCTTGCCGAAAATGCTCGGAAAATACTCACTTTTTTGCAAGAATCGCTCTCTACAGTATCTTCATCTTGATCACTGTCATCCGAAACACACTCAATAAGAGACTTGCTCGAGTCTGCCATGGTAAACAATTCATAAGCTACTCAACAAGAAGCTAACCCACGGAATGCGGAAGTGACATTCTCATGGTTCTTGTTTGGGAAGTTTTTCTTCTCTCAATTTTGATACACAACGGCCAAGTGCTCCGTTTCCCCCAAAATGCTGCATCACGAGCCCAAAGTGCTGGGTTCGCGGATTGTACCGAAAATGCTCAAAACAATGCCGGCATATTACACGGGGGCCTAGTCTCAGGGACTGTAATGTCACTGATCCAGGATTACAATACATGTACATGTACCATGAATACTGGGATGTTCTTTTCATGGAAATGCTACATTGTAAATGCCAAGTGTGTTGTAGTGTGACCTCAGTATTTGGTGAACAACAAGGATCGGGCGATTCCCAACCAAATGTATTCTGGAAGTGGCTGCTGTCATTTGGATAGGTGTGCAGTTGTGGGGTTGGGACTGGTGTAGGCATATGCGGATAACGCCGGCAGAAAAATTGGCAGAATTCGGTACTTTTTCTGGTAAGTTTCATGCATGTTTGGTATGTGGATAAAGAAATGGAGCAGAATTCGAGGAATTGCCCGCCATAAGGTTTGTACGGTTCTGCCAATTTCACTGCTTTTCGAGCAGAATCTGCCACCTTTCCGAGCATTATCCGCACACCCCTAGACTGGGGAGACACTGACAGCCAGCTCGAGGGCATACTCCATACACCAGACGTCAGTGTGACCATGATGTACCAGGGCAAGTAACAACTGTTACTGGCGTTAGTTGTGAAGAGTGGATCCTATAGTCTCTTGGTCCTATCCTATACAGTCGTCCCTCTCTAATCCAGCATTTTATAATCCAGCACCCTCGATAAACCAGCACAATTTTCAGTAGCCGAAATGTCCGCATCATGCACATTGCAGCAGTAAATCAGATTTGTTAATCCAGCACCCTCCCTAATCCAGCAGATTTTCCGTGGCACAAATGGTGCCGGATTATAGAGGGAGCACTGTACTATAAATTTATTCCTTGGATCTCCATCCGGGTCTATCTTTAGTGCCAGTCTACATAGCATTTAATAATAATGCCTGTACTCTTGGACTTGTTACCACTGGTTACCACACAGTGACACTGTCACCATGGTCACGTTGATTTCGGAAACGGAAAGACACAGGTTTAGGCGAGCAACTAACGTGTTACTTCTGGTGTCAGCCACTCCTCGAATCTCCGCATCCCCGAGCATCAAACCGAAGCGAAAAAAGACTAAACGTAAAAGAGAGGACTAAAGAGCTACAACTTACGCTATAAATATCCACTAACACCACAAGTTACAATCAGCTCATGCGATAACATTGCACGACGCTGACCAACGGTACTGACGTTCGACACCTAACTGGACGTTTAGCACATCTCGGATGCGAACTCGGATGCGCGCTCCAACAGCTGGTCCTCTTTTCTTGGGCTCTCCACCCGAGTCTAGCAAAAGAGTACATTCATGATTGTATTTGCTAGACAAACCCCTAACGGTATGTGTGTGATAAGGATTATTATGAATCACGTTATAACCCAACTGAACAAGAGTAGATGGTAAGTACATCTACCGGTACGATCATGACTTTGTAAGGACTGTAGAGTGATAATGATACTATCATTGATAGTCAGGACCAGGGAGTCGTGAATAGCAAAACGCCACAGGCTTTCACGACTCCCTGGTCAGGACGGCAACGCCTACTGCGCTGCCTTGATATGAATGTAACAGCAGCTACAAAAGTTAGTTTCATACACACACGAAGATCTGATCATTATTCACACAGCTCGCCACTGGCGCGGCGAGCCCAGCACTGGCAGCAGGCCAGGCCAGGGTCGAAGGCGAGTCCATGATCCAGTGGACGCGGTGTAACACCACGAATCCAGCATGATTGACCACAACATTACATTTTACAAGAACTGTAGCCACCATTGGGAGTTGGGTCTTCGTAGACCTACGAGATGCATGGCTTTATCGACGATCCCTGTAGACTGTAGACTGTAGTGCGCACATGTGGCCCGAGCGCATAGTCAGCTTGTAGATCTACATGGTCGCGTGTGAGTGGTCTGCCTGTACTGCTGCATGCTGTGGCATGAGCCTGATGAGGACTGCCGGAGTGTGACTGGACAGACAGCACCATGCCAAGAGTTCTACTGATTGTACTGATCGTGAGTGGGCACGCGAGAGAGTCGAGTGTGACCATACTAGCAGATGATTCCTGTGGGTAACGAAACTGTTACCAGCGACGATCGAGTGAGTACCTCACTACCTCACTACCTGCTACGACTACGCGTGCTTTGTAGTGTGTGACTATTCGCGAGCACACCGTTTGTGAGTCGTGACAGCGCTGTGTGAGATCGAGAGCCACGAGTCTGTGAATGGTGACAGATGAATGGCGAGGCAGTGCCGTGGAGATCGAGCGCGTCCCAATGGACGGGCCCGGGACCCAGTCCGCACGTCCTGAGACCGGAGGAGCGTCTGTTTCCCCGTGTTCAGGCATTTCTTTTATCGTTTCCTACTCTGTCTGAGTGCGATCGTGAAACTTTTTTTACTTACATTTACTCTGCTTCAATCATGATGAAGAAATAGTCTGTGAAAATCCTGGTGGAGCGCAGTGCAGCGTGCGTTTCTGCTAAATGCGTGGAAGAACTCAGTTTGTATTGTGATCTCCATTCGCCTGACTGGATGGCTCTCGCCGATTATGCTATCAACAGGCGCGATGACAGGCGTCTCCTAGTGCTCTCTGCTGTTATCCTTGTGCTGGTTGCTAATTCCTTGCATCACCATGCGTCGCACGCGCAAACTGTTGTAAACATCAGCGGGAGAACGCAAGGTGAGTACGAGAGCTGTGCGACGGGCTCAAATATCTATGGAACCCTATTGCGTAATAAGTAATCGCTGCTCGAAAACATAATTATTGGGATTTCAATTATTTGGGAGATAGCTGGCCTGGGGCGAAAGGGTGGTTCATACCAATAATAGTTTCGTGTTACTAACACAACTGTGAATTATGTGAGTGGCACAGATTGAAGCAAGGCGTAGCACAATGCTGTGCATGGCTTTGTGCACATAATCACCTGGCACCTATTGTTTATCTTGCCCTACATGTACGAACACGTGACCCGAGGCCCGCTAGCACTGCCCTGTCTCTGAGAAGAGGAAGGATGTAACATTTAACAATACGAGTTAGCAATGTTAGCACTGAAAACTGCTGCTTTTTGGAAATGCTCTGTCATGCAATGTGTCAAAGATACTGAGCTGGCCGGCAAAGGAGTAATTCATATCGAGAATAATTGTCATATGGGTACCTTCGCTTGGCGTGCACTTATGCACATTTTACGCAAGTCATAATAATTATTACCTTGTGTGCTTAGGTCACTGTGACTTCCAATTTCGATGGAGATTCAGTGATGATTAATTGACAAAAATCCTGTCTGAATTGGCTATTTTACATTTACTGTTCCCTCTTCACCATCACCATTGTAATATATCAGCATCGTTTGTGCTATTTTTTTACAGCCATAATAAATTATAATAATGATATCAAGGCTGGACGCTTGGGAGGAAATGCCTTTGTCCACGTGTAGAATGGTGGCGGTGGTACTAATATGCAAGCACTTCTGCCACTGTGGGAGACATTCCTGATGAAAATGCATCGAGTTGGGGAGCCTCTTGAAAGAATTCTTTGTGTAAGGGGAGGGGGGTCGTAAAAGCCCAGTTGGGGGCAAAGAATGACCCTGGAATGTTCCGAATCTTTAATCCTGTAAACACACACACCACACACACACACGCACACGCACACACACTGGCACTGTTGATATGCTACCAGTGTTGTTCAAGTTCCTAGCTGCAACTCCCCGAGAATGTCATATTTGCATGCCTCATGTACTCATTCAGGGGCATCGGAAGGTATTTCAGTGTGGTACGGTCAGCCATCTGAAGTGAAATTATTTACTCGAGGGGGAGGGGTTGCTGAGCCAATGTGTTTGAATATTTAGAGCCCAGATCAGTGTATTTTATTGATTCACGGGGCACCTGGGGCAAAAGTGGTACGGTCAATACCGTAGCGACCGTAGCGTGTCCGACGCCCCTGTCCGCATTACAATGCGATGTGGGTTGTATGCCAATGGCAATGGCTGCTGTAAATACCTACTCAATGGTTGGGTAGTTCCTAGCAGGACTCAATACTGAGTTTTATTGCTCTTGCATATTGCCATGTGATCATCTCCACACCTTTGTGATGTGGTATGTGTGTTTCTGTTGCTCAGAGAGGCACTGGGAGTATGAGCCGTACGATGGCTGGTTCAACAACCTCGGGAACCCGGAATGGGGCGCAGTGGGTAAGCTTTAGAACGGTGCTGTAGCGGGAAAGTGCCAGTGCTAGCAACAGAAGTCCATGGCACAGTGTAGTACTTTGCCACAGTTTCTACTACAGTCGTCCCTCTCTAATCCGGCACCTTTTGCAACGGCATTTTCTGCTGGATAAATAAGGGTGCTGGATTATGAAATCCTGCCCTCCAACCCGGCCCACATGTTATCATACATGTTTGTGTCGTACGTCAAAACGTAGGGATTTTCTGTGTCAAACCAAGTACAGTACTTTGTGGAATGCATGTCTATAAGTTATACACTTAGGAATATCCTATGTACTGGCATGGGATATTCCCAAGTGTATGTTGCATGTGTTGTGTATGTTACAATGGTCCCTGACAGTCTGCGATGTACAACTGCTGGATTAGAAAATCGAATTATGTACAGTTTGAGTGATTTGTTGCAGAAAATTGCTGCTGGAGGCGGAATTCAAGTGCCGGATTAAAGCGTAGAAAATGAACTGAAAAAATCCATTTTGCCAGAAAGTGTGCTGGTTTGCAAGGGTGCTGGATAAACAAGTGCCGGATTAGAGAGGGACGACTGTATCTGTACAGGCAGAAAATTTCGTCTGCCAGTAACTTCGTCCAACTCAAAAGAAAAAGGAGTTCGTCCGGTTGTAAATTTCGTCCATGGATCATAAGAGTGTATTGAAAAGCTGGAAAAATCGACATTAGTCCGGCATTCAATTTAGTCCAAAAGCTCCTTCGACGAAAAGACGAAATTAAATTCCAGACGAATATTTCTGCTTATACAGTATCTGTACTCCCTGCTTTCCATATAGCCCGCAATGGGTAGGTCGGGAGCAGTACACTGGAAATCCAGAATTGTTTCATTAATTTGAGGGAATTGCGAACGAGAAAAGTCTGAACAAAGTCGACTGTCACCACCAGGACTCTAACCAGGGACCCACGCTTATGGCCAGCAATGCTCTAACCACTAAGTTTTGCTGTACAAGTAGTCGTCATCCGGAATATTTTGAATGCTTTTTAGTTTTGCACATGCTGGCCACTTTCTCAAAACATGACATTGTGATGCATACTACAAATGCCACTGTCGCTCTTTCCGGTGAGGCTCCTGCTCTCTGCGTCAGTGTTTTGTGAATGTGAATGGTAGACTGAAGACTTGGCATGTTCTGCTTGGCACACTTGGACTTTGTCCGATTCTGTGTGCTCTCTGCTCGCAGACACACCGCTGCAGAGACGCCTGCCGCCGGCCTACAGCGACGGTGTGTATCAGCTGGCCGGCCAGAAGCGTCCCAATCCTCTCTCCCTGTCGGCTGGCATCATGAAGGGAATGACTGGCCGCCGCTCATATCAGTCGAAGACAGCCATGCTGGTCTTTTTTGGTATGCCCGTCTGCATACTTCATGCACACTCATATCTCTCTATCCACATGGTCTGGGACCGGGCACTCACTTTGCATACCTTGGAAATGTTCAGAACTCTGAATCTCATATGTTTCAATGGGGATGGGCCCGAGATCTGATGCATGACGTCACTATTTCCACAATAATTGGCAAAAGAGTGGTAATATATCCACTAAAACTCGCCCAGAGGGTGCACGGTAGACCAAGGTGGCCATACCGCCGAGGTCCAGATCAGAGATATAATGAGTGCATATAAAAATAGACTTTGTTGTGTCTTTTGACAGCATGCATAAGTCGCTCACTATCGCGGGCTTGGCATGATATCAATGTACGTTACGTGCATGTGCATGCGGAAGGACATTTAAACATTAACTGTCTCACGGTCTCATGCATGATGTAATCGTTACGTGAAACTTACCAATGCAATTGCCTCATGATGAATGTTAGGAGTTGCACGACTGCAAGGATTTGAGTCGGTCTGTACAGTAAACCCTGCGTTTTCCGGACCCTGTACCAAGCGGAATCCTGTATTGATCGAACCAATGTCCATGCACTAAGGTGCTGTGGATTGACATGCATCCCAGGATCAAGCGGAATCCTGTATTGACCGGACAAGTTTTCATGCACCAAAGTCACGGCTGTGGATGGAACGTGCATCCCTGGATCAAGCTGAATCATATGTCGGGACAGTTTCCGCTGCACCAAGGGCAATGGCGTCGTACGGTTAGGGTAGGTTTCACTGTGCTGTTTCCTGTTGTCTACAACACAGGGCAGCAAGTCGTGGAGGAGATTCTGGACGCGCAGCGAGCAGGTTGTCCGCCCGAGTACGCCAACATCAAAATACCCGACGACCACGAGTACAGCGAGGAGACCAGCGTTGGCGACATGCCGTTCTTGCGCACGCGCTACGACATGCGCACCGGCCAGTCGCCCAATAATCCCCGTCAGCAGGTGAGTCACGGTGTGGGACACAGTCATAACAATGCAGTGCGAACAGCCGTAGGAGTTGCATTATTACGTGAAAAGTATACTTTTCACAGTTAATAGAACTTAATACAATAAAGAAAACGGGGTTAGTCAACAGACAACCGCTCTATTCTGTTGCTATTCATAACCTACACATGCACTGCATTAATAAAATGTGTATTGTGATGTTAAAAATTGTAGACGTTTCGGGCCAGTCACCCATCTTCAGAACCTAAGTAAGTAAGAGTATTTATTTGTAGAGCTATTGTGGATATCGATTCCTACTAGGTTTAACCCCCAGACGGACAGTTTTTGGGCCAGCTACTACTCAGCTACGTGCCTCTGTGATACTGTCAGAGCGGCGGAGCAGCCACATGTTCACCGGCGGATATGTTACCACTTCCAAACACTTTACAAATGTGAAGCACTTACCGTATTTTCCGGAGTATAAGCTACTCTTTAAAACACCAATAATTCACCCCCAAAAAAGGTCAATGCGGCTTATATCACAATGGTCCAATTAACGGTGCTAATCCAGGGGGTTGTCGGTTTTTCATGACAACATATCTGGGTGCGGCTTATACTCCAGTGTGGTTTATACTCCAGTGTGGTTTATACTCCGGAGGACTTGGTATGTGTGCTGCTTGTGTTGTTGTGTAAAGTAAGAATATCATGTCCGTTCCCAAAGGGAACTCACGACGGCCGCTAACACCCGGTAAACCCTAGTTGTTGGTGTTGTGTGCCTGCAGCTAAACGAAATCACTCCGTACATCGATGGCGGCCTGATCTACGGCACCAGCAAGGCATGGGCGGATGTGCTGCGTTCCTTCAAGGACGGCATGCTCAGGTGCTGGGACAGCAACTGTCTGTATCCGGAGCGCAACACGATCGGCCTACCGATGGCTAACCCACCGCCTCCATTCGACCACAAGCTAAAATCAGCCAAGCGTTTCTTCAGTAAGCCGTATTATAACTAAAGAATTGCATATTGTCACTGACAGGTGATTTTCATTCCACCAATGATGCCAGTATCACCTGTACAATGTTTAAAAGTGATATAGACGGGTCACTCTCTTCTTCAGCCTGTATCCACCTGAAGAAAAGGCACTTCAAGTTCCAGTGGAAACTTAGGATTGTTCCTTTTAAAGAGCCTGAAGCTTTTTTCTATTCCTTAGTGTAATCGTATGTGGATAATACGAGCTGGTGCATATAGTCTCAGTGATCCAGCCAACTGATTAGCTGAGCACACTGCTGACAGCTACTCATGCTCTTCTATGTCTCATTCACTACAGAGAAAAGGGCTGATGGACTGGAACAGTAGCCCAGCCAAACAAAAAAGCGGCCTAAACAGCCTGGCCAGCCTGCATGTTCGGGCTGTTCAGGCTTGATAAAACCGTGACTGGTTAGACCAGACGGTTGCATCATCGGGTACCTGAAATACATTCGAAGGCTGATTGCTTACGTTGCACTTTGCTATAATGCATCCGATTTGGTGTATTGCCGGACTAGCGAATAGCATTTGTCCAAAGCTTGCAGGCACTGTATCATCAGAACTCAACCTTCTCTTGTGCTTGCTCTGCACTGCAGTGTTGGGCAATCCTCGAGGCAATGAGAACCCGTTCCTGCTCACCATGGGTGTGCTCTGGTTCCGCGAGCACAACTACTGGGCCAAGGAGCTGAAGAAGTCCTACGCCGGCTGGAACGACGAGCAGCTGTACCAGAGGGCACGGCAGTTCACCATAGCCGTCTACCAGGTAGGCTGGATGTTTTATAACGCTATCATCAATTACTGTGTACACCGGTGCACCAGGGGAGGGGGCATCGACGGAGAGCAATCTCAGTCGCCCTTCTTGCTGGTCTATATACTTTGCTTACTTATAAGTACGTGTACCAGTTACATTATCATAGTTACACACACATCATAGTTACACACACTGGGTATGGTTTTCTTTGTTCATTTCTCTTGTCTTGGATAGTTGATGGGGGTTCCCTTGACTACATGTATGTTCGTTAAAGTACCCACAAGTGCAGCCTAATACAGCGTAATGCAATCAATTTGTATGGCATACAAATTGATTGCATTGGTCCGGCCATACCCTTTGTATGGCAACATGAACTACACATGGACCTGGTGGTACTAGCTTGACTAGTATCGATGCCAGGGAAGTTCAATCTACAATTCATCATTGTACAATGTACACAGTTTGACTGATCCGTATGAGCACTGCTTTGGGTAGCGGTCGAATGTAAATTGCGCTTCTAGTAGTGTTTGTTGTGTCCAATTTGAGGTGCTTTCTCCGAAATTTACTTTTTGTGTGTGTGTGTGTGTGTGTGTGTATATATATATGTGAGTGTGTGTGTGTGTGTGTGTGTGTGTGTGTGTGTGTGTGTGTGTGTGTGTGTGTGTGTGTGTGTGTGTGTGTGTTGATCACTTCTCTGTCGATGTCGACTGCAGAACATTGTCCTGTACGAATGGCTCCCGGCGTTCCTCGGAATCGGCGGTCAGAACGTTTCGGAGCCAGGCTGTCCTTGTAGCGACGACCCGGGGGTCATCTCACCCTATTCGGGCTACAAGCCGCACGTGCATCCCGGAATCGTGCATGCATTCCAGTCGGCCGCTATGCGATTTGGCCATACCATGGTGCCACCGGGTGTCTGGAAGAGGTACAATGTCCGCCATTACTAGTCCTTACACAGTTCTGCGCTGCAGCAATATTTAATCCTGATACTGTATGTAGGAATGTGGTCACTATGGCGACTGATAGCTATGTGTATGTCCATGATGATATTTAGAGCACTGCGCCTGTAGTGTGCCAGATGCTCGCACCACATCCATCAGTTCAGCATGTACAACGTGAGATGTTCCTGCAACCTTATACTCACATGGATCCTAACCAAGGTGCTTGCTTTCTGCTCCGACGTCACTCCCTGCCCAACCGACGCAGCAACAGAAACAGCTGTTTCTGTTGGTGCATCAGTTGCGCAGGCAAGCGCCTTGGTTGGGATTACAATTAGAATTCTTCTACAATTCAGGGTTAACTGGGTGTTGGCGGCCGTCGTGAGTTCCCTTTGGGAACAGACATGATAATTTACTCTCTTTTTAGGACAATTCCACTTCAGTTCTCACAGTTCACAATTCGAATAGCCAATAGTATGTTATATCCATGGTGGTCTATACTAAAAGGTGTTTTCTGCCCACACCGGAGGTTGTGCTTTTCCGCCGACTTGATACTTGACTGACTTGCAACTGCCATCCAGAGCTCCAGTGTGGGGAGCAAACCCCTTTCCTATAAAATCATCGCCAAAGTTGGTACCACTATCTCAGTCTATACTGAAGTTCAACAAAGTATGTATCTGAGGCAGATGACCATCACCTGAGGACTTATTCGTTATTATGAAGTACATGTACATATAGACCTGTCCACAAAGATCATTCTGCCATGCAGTCTATTCTCTCAAAGCACTGCTCACGGCAATGATGAATGGTTGTTGTGGCGCTGCTGTTTGCTGTTGACAGGAACTCCACCTGCTACGCGCGTCCGTTGCGCGGCGTTCGCACCTGCAACTCCTACTGGAACCCGCAGGACGCCATACTGGACGAGGGCGGTATCGACGATGTGCTCATGGGCATGGCGTCGCAGATAGCCGAGCGCGAGGACAACATCATCACCGAGGACCTGCGCGGCAAGGTGTTCGGCCCGCTGGAGTTCATTCGCCGTGACCTGATGGCGCTCAATATCCAACGCGGCCGTGACCATGGCCTGCCAGACTATAATACCGCACGGCAGCACTACGGTCTGAGGCGGCTGAAGTTCGACGATATCAACCCGTGCTCGTGCGGCAACTCCACCATACGACAGGTACTGGTCAATATGCACTGTTCACACTTTGTGCTGGTTGGTACCAGTGATCCAAGCATCTGGACACTCACACATGCAGGCTTGCATCTCTGAACTCTGAGCAGGCTCTGATTGTGCTTGGTAATCACTATTCATGCACTTCAAGGTAGCAATGGCATGCACAGTTCAGAATTCTTTTCGTTCGTGCGGACCGAGTGAAGCATGCGCATCTATTGCTCCTGCCTTTTCTGTTTCGTTCAGGCGGTGAATGCCAGCAGGGAGCTGTACAAAGGTGACGACCGGGACATTGATATTTGGGTGGGCGGCTTGCTGGAGACTACGCCACGTGGACCAGGCCCGCTATTCCGAGAGATCATCAAGGACCAGTTTGAACGTATTCGAGACGGCGACCGCTTCTGGTTTGAGAACATAGAGAACGAGTAGGTGCACTAGCTCGAGCAGCATCAAAGCTCACGCACACGACTATGTATGATGGTTAATTACATGTACAGTCAGACATTGCTTAACCGCACACATCCGTTTTCCACAAAAAATATCCGGATAGGTGAGGGAACCGGATAATCGAACACACACACACTGTATGTATGCATGACATCTGCTGTAAATCGGTAACCAGCGATTGTTCTTCCGGATGGCGAGGGATCCGGATTAAAGAGGACTGGATAAGCGAGGTCTGACTGTACTAGAACTTATCTGTGCATGCAGGTACCACTGTACTTATAGCCAGTCCCTAATTGCAAGTGCCAGCGTAACAGGTGTATGAATGATGTCATGATGATGTAATAATTTGACGAATACTGATTGATCATAACCTCATTGTTGATCTCTACATGCAATTCCTTGCCACTGACTAGAAACTTAGAAAGTGCCTGAAAAGTGACTGCAAGGGTGCATCAGTAACTCCCGGATGTCCCCTCAGTGGGTCACGCATACTTGTGCTTGGAGGCATACTCATGATGAAATTACAAACACCCTATTTTACATGGAAACATGTGGGCACAAGTTATGCAATCGAGTCCACCAACCAACCTTATTTCTATTATTGTCTTTTTTCGGATGGCTAGCATCTCCCATAGTACAGTATGGAGTATTTGCAATTAAAAATAACTAACAATAAAAGTAAAAAGGCGACGTGGAGACAATAATCTTAATAATGCAATGAATATAACTAAATGCGCACTCATATCACAACCATGGGGACGAATCATGTATTCCAGAACGTTTTCTTGTCACAATTATCAATGGAATTCGTGACTAAAGAGAATGATGAAACTACAATAGGATTTATACACTTGCAGTGGAACAGCGAGGATACAAGCATAGTAAGAAAAATAGCACAAACCTAGGAACAATTTGCACAGGTAATAAACTATAGGTGAGGTGAGAAATGATAGGAAATTCAGCAAGTGCAGTGTGACAATGGACATGCATGTGTAAGTGTGTGTGAGTGCGAATTTACTGGAATAGCGTAAGTGCGGTGACATTTTCTTTTTGTTTACAAAGATTTGGATCACGAATGCGAATGTAGACTGCTTCTAGAACTTTCAACTGCTTGAAACTACTAATATCTGTGCTGAAACACTGTACCACAACAAGGAAATAAAAGATGTACCATGGCTGTCCGAAGCGGCTTTTCGCCGCTTGATGTTGATGGTTACGAGTGGTGTGGAGTTTTCATTTGACGACATCATGTATAAACAGACGGATGGCGTGGCTATGGGTTCTCCATTGGGTCCGGTCCTAGCCAATGTGTTTGTTGGGTACTGTGAATCGAAGATAGAGAAGTGGCCGGAATTGTACGTCAGGTTTGTGGATGACTCCTTCACGTACTTTGATTCGAGAGCAGACGCTGACGACTTTCTGCTGAAACTGAATACAATCCATCCTGCACTGAGATTTACGTGTGAACATGAAGAGTCCAATAAGCTATCGTTTCTGGATGTGTTAGTCGAAAAGACCCAGACTGGTGTATTGACTACAGTATACCGTAAACCCACTTTCACCGGGCAGTACATGATGTTTGACTCGTTCTGCTCTTCCCAGTACAAGTCAAACTTAGTTCGTAACCTTGTAAATAGGGCACAACGCATTTGTTCACCAACAAAGCTACAACAGGAACTTGATTTTCTACGCTCCGTATTTGTGAAGAATGGCTACCCGCAGCAGCTCCTCGACAAACTTCTAACAACTACACCTGTTGTTAAGGAACGAGCTATCGGACCGTTGCCGTGCCGCGTATTTCTTTGCTTGCCCTGGAAAGGGAAAGAATCGAAGGACACGGCCCGTGTGGTGAAATCCCTAGTGGAGAAAACCTACTTTGCCACCAATGTGGTTACCGTGTTCACTACGATCCGTTCGTTCACGATGTTGAAGGATGTCCTACCAACCCTACAATTGAGTCACCTCATTTACTACTTTGAATGCCGACAATGTGGTAGTCGGTATGTTGGTAGGACCCTTCAACATCTGTCCGAACGTATCAAACAACACGTGCCGCTCTCAATATTGTTACAGGCGGCTAGGTCCTCCCGACCAAAGCGTGGCCGACCACGTAAGCACCCAACTCCACTGTCCGTTCCGGCAGAGGCTTCTGCTCCACAAACGGTGTCTCGGAAAAAACCAACACAGCACGCAGAAATTGGGAACAAACATTAATGTAAACAAAGACAAACACTGTGTCTTGTCTTCATTATCAGCGAGTACCGGAACGCCGGACGCAGACAACCGCAACTCACCAAAGCTGAGAAGGAGCAAACGGCTGGCGGCAGCTCGGTTTGCAGAGGTGACTGGAAAGATGCATCGAAACTCTCCGGATATGGATGATGCCAGCGGAAGAGTTGACGACTGTCAGGCGTTTGGCAATGGCAAGGGAAGACCGGTCAGGAAGAGAACGCGACGGCAGCTGGAGGAGGAGTGTGGAAGCGACGTGTGCAGTGACGATGATGAACCCGGTGGTCAGTTGCTGGGAGAGCCGACGACAGGTGAAGGTGGCAGCGATGATGAAGAGGACGGTGACGATGATGACGATGATGGTGCAGATGGTGTGAAGGATGGTGGCGGTCAGAAACCAAGTGAAGGCGGAGGCGGTGAGAAGAAGAAGAATACATCGGCAATTAAATTGCATTTGTTGTCTAACCCCGTGTGTCGTGAAAGTTATGATGATTCTTGGTTCAGTGTTGTTCGTTCTGCAAGTAGTTTCAAGCAGTTGAAAGTTCTAGAAGCAGTCTACATTCGCATTCGTGATCCAAATCTTTGTAAACAAAAAGAAAATGTCACCGCACTTACGCTATTCCAGTAAATTCGCACTCACACACACTTACACATGCATGTCCATTGTCACACTGCACTTGCTGAATTTCCTATCATTTCTCACCTCACCTATAGTTTATTACCTGTGCAAATTGTTCCTAGGTTTGTGCTATTTTTCTTACTATGCTTGTATCCTCGCTGTTCCACTGCAAGTGTATAAATCCTATTGTAGTTTCATCATTCTCTTTAGTCACGAATTCCATTGATAATTGTGACAAGAAAACGTTCTGGAATACATGATTCGTCCCCATGGTTGTGATATGAGTGCGCATTTAGTTATATTCATTGCATTATTAACAATAAAAGTATTTGCATTGTTTGGTCTTCATAATTGATTGAGAATGTCTTGCTCATTTGATCCCACCTTCCTTCGCCTTGATGCGTGTATAGAATATGTTTATCCAACAAGCCTCTTTCACGGGCAAAATACACACAACGAATGGAAATGCAATAGTTATACAGTTTATCCTGTTTTATTGTCATGTGATCTCCGCAGGCTGTTCAATGCGTCCGAGATCGGTGCAATCCGCGCGCGCCGGCTCTCCTCCGTCATCGTCAGCAACACGGAGATCGGCGTCGGCGACATACAGGCCGACGTGTTTCACCTGCGGCCAGGTGACCCGTGCGCGTCGCACTCCTTCGACGCCGGCAATCAGATCGACGAGACGCTGCTGGACGCCTGCTCGCCGTGGGCCACGTTTGACTACTTCGAAGGCAGCGCCGGCCCGTACAAGGCGACGTTCGTGGCGGTGGGCCTGTACGTGCTGCTGCTTCTCGCGATCGTGTTCGTCGGCATTCGGTGTCGCCGAGGCGGCCTCACCAGGAGAATGACGCGGTCGAAGAGCAGCGGTGCCGTGGGCGATTCTACCTACGGCCTGGCAGGCAGCGGTGTGGTTCGAATCATTGCCGAGGAGCTCAAGGTATGTATGCTTATGTGGAGTACTGCAGTAAAGGGCTCTCTTGAAGCACTAGTAGCTGCTGAGACACTTCAATACATCTTTCCATCCTTGGCTGCTAAGTTGGTATTTTGCCGTCTTCATGTTGAGATGGTGTAACTGTTGGTGCTAGTGCTGGTCTTGGGGATGGTGGTGGAGAAGGAGGAGCAGGAGGAGGAGCAGGAGGGGGAGGAGGAGCAGGAGAAGGAGGAGCAGGAGAAGGAGGAGCAGGAGGAGCAGGAGGAGGAAGAGCAGGAAAGGGGGAGGAACCCAAGGCCATAAGTTTGCTACCCTGAGTGATTAACATGATGGCTATGAGAAGTTGATAACAGATAAAACACACACACGGACATACGCTTTGGATTGATTTTGAGCTCCACGCAGCCTCACAACTTCCATGTTCGTCATTGTCACACGAGTCATATGTCTGTCCATGATCTAGCCTCCGCACTGATCGTTCCCGACAGCAAACTGTGTTTCCCTATCATGCGTACATGTCTTCAGGTGGAGGGTGAACATACTCGTCACGTGGGCATCCTTGTGAACGAGAGCGAGCGACGTCTGACGGTGGTGGAGCCGGATAGCATGACGGCGCTGCGACGCATCGACCTGGCGCTCACACGCAGCGTGGAGTTTCACATGTGCTTCGACGATGACACACTGCTGCTGCTGCGCTTCCCGCACTTCTACGACCTGGTGCTGCAGTTCAGACACGCCAGCGACCGCAACTTCTTTGTCCAGGACCTGAAGGTGGGTACTGAGATGATATAATGTGTGTGTGTGTGTGTGTGTGTGCGTGCGTGCGTGCGTGCGTGCGTGCGTGCGTGCGTGTGTGATTCGACTGATTCCCGACAATTATGGTCACACGCGTCTTTCTCCTCTTTCTCATTCTCCTAGCTCTTCTTTCATTCTCCTGGGTGGTTACCAACAGCCAGTGTATGCCGGAGTATGTGGCGTGGTGTGAGTGTGTAAAAAAAATGAAAAATGAAAAATAGGGATTGATTCACTGGCCAGAAAAAAGCCACTTCAATCAGCTGTGTGGTCGATACCAGGCTAGAAAATAGTGGCGGTCAATTCATCAGCCTTGCAAGCTGTTGAATGGTGTAATCCCAGCACAAGTTGCTATGTCTAACATAGCTGTTCGCTATCATCGCTTCCGCGATGGGCACGTCTGAGGTGTGAGGTGAGTCTTGTTTACACAGTTTGTGTTCCTGCAACACGGGCCGTGTACTACAGCAAACTGTGCTGGCTGTTGAGTGCGAAAAGCACCCTGATGAATAATACAGCTCCTGGGGTTTGCATGGCCCCAGCCTTTGAATTCGGGGGTGGGGGGGGGGGGGGTGTCTCTTTTTTTAGAGGTTCCGCCCAGGTAGTCGTGCAAACTCGCCTCCCTGGTTCCACTGTGGTTTGGACGCCGCTCTCCAGAGTTTCATTGATGATATTACGGCGGGTGATTGCAAGCCTGAGGTTGTCCAGGCTGTAATCAACTGCGAAGTTTGTTTGGCACACTCACTTTTCTGCCCGTCAGTAAGAGTAGAGGCTGGTTGGTGTATACTCAAGGCCACTGCATGAAGTTGTGCAGAATGCCTGCCACGTGCACTGGGTCGTACCAGATTGTGGTATTGGCACTCTTGTGATCAATCTTTACACCGGGACTCGGTATTATTGTCATTGTTATCCGGCCCGTGCTTGCATGCTATTGCAGTCATTATTCACTCCTCTCTCCCTGTACTCTGGTGTGTGTGTGTGTGTGCATGTGTGTGTGTGTGTGTGTGTGTGTGTGTGTGTGTGTGTGTGTGTGTGTGTGTGTGTGTGTGTGTGTGTGTGTGTGTGTGTGTGTGTGTGTGTGTGTGCATGTGTGTGCATGTGCGTGCGTGTGTGTGTGTGTGTGTGTGTGTGTGTGTGTGGGTGTGGGTGTGTGTGTGTTTGGGTGTATATTTTACTGTTCAGACCACGCTATCCAAACTGGGTATCGGCGAAGCAGACTTGTTCCCGACGCGACGCCGTCTTCTTGCCTACGCGTTCACCAAGGAGGATCGGCAGCAGCTGGTGGAGGACTTCTTCCGGCGCGTGTTCAAAGATGCGTTTGGCACGTCAACGAAGCCAGAGAATCCTCGACTGCAGCAGGTGCGGGGCATGATCTCGCCCATCGTCAGCCAGGTGGGAAGTCTGTTCGGGCGCGGCAAGGAGATCGTGGACGCGCGCGACATCATGCAGTGCGAACTCACCAAGAGTGAGCTGGCCAGCTCGCTGGGAATGAAACCCGATTCTGTGTTCGTCGAGCAGATCTTCAAGGTGGTGGACGAGACAGGATCTGGTACGGTTGCCTTCCAAGAGATGCTGACATTCTTGGTCAAGTTTGCCAAAGGCGACGAGGAGAACAAACTGCGGTTGATCTTCCGCATTTACAACACGGACGGCAGCGGCCTGCTGAAACGTGCCGAGTTCAACGACATGCTTAAGCACCTGCTGGAAGGAGCGGGGACGACGGTGGAAGACGCCAAGGTGGACACGACGTGGCGAAGCATGTTCAGCGACGCCGGCCTGGACGAGCAGAACGAGCTGACGTTCGAGGAGTTCCACCGGCTGTTCTCGCCGCACATGGCCCAGATCATGCCCAACGTTCACCTGGAGTTTGCCGGCATGAGCGAGGCCACCAGCCGCTCGCCACCGCACACCGTGGGCGTAAGGTCGCCGGCGGGTCGGCGTGGAACCGGTCACGACGGCGTTAGCCCGTCACCACGCCGCAAGGGATCACGGCAAGACAATGGTAGGTACAGTATTGTACAGGGTGCAAGCTATTAGAAAACCTTGTTTTTGTTCAAATATGTTGTTGGTTGACAGCATGTAAAATTACAAGGTGGAGGACACCGTGTTTGGAAACAATGACCTTTCTACTGGTCTAGGACCCATACGGTTCGGATGGTCTCAACAGACCGAAGCTCTACGAACCGTGGATGGTTGTAGAAAGGTCACTGTTTCCGAACATGGTGTCCTCTAAGTTACTTTGTTACATGCTATCAACCAACAACAGGGTACAAGCTGCACTGGACTATGAGCCGCACCCAAAAAAAATGTTGACACAAAATACAGCCTCCCATACATTTCCTCGTTCCTGATGATGTTCATAGACCCAAACCGGCATTGACTGAATAACAGAATTTAAAGTATTGCTTTTCTGGAGCAAAGAGTACTGTAATTTCACAAATTTTCGGTGTACTTTTATTTTCGGTACTTTCGGTGCGTTTGTTTCATACCTAAAATTTCAATACACCGAACAAACACTAACACACCTAATCCAATAGGGAACTGCTTCTCTGTACCGAACATTTCTGTTCACCTAACCTGGCATGTTGCCCTCATACTGAAAATATTGAGCACCGAAAATTTCTGAAATTAGAGTAGTACGGTCAATAATGATAGTGACTGTAGCATGTCCTGTGCTCCTGTGGTAAGACTGCGGCATCACGAGCATGTACTTGCCTGCCACTCATCACCAAGCATGTGCGATCATGTGATGATGCGATGATGTCATTTGCATATGTGATGATGTCATTTGCATAAGCCATGATGTCATTTGCATAAGCCATGATGTCCTTAGCATAACATTGTACACGTGGATAATGAGTTAGTAAATAAGCTGGCTGCTTATCCTCTACCTGCACTGTGCACATGCTATGCTTTCCCTTGACGCACACAGAGGACATCTACCAGAAGAGGACACGGTCGTTTGTGTCCGCGTACCAAAGCCATGACGAACAAGCGCGGCAACAAGCCGCCGGCCCCTCCATTCAGATATCGCCGCCAACCGTGGACGAGGAGCTGAGCGAGAAAGACAGCCTGCCCGAAGCGTACGAAGCTTGGCTGTCGGTGCGCCGCTTCATCAGCAACTACCAGGCGCACGTCTTCTGGCTGTGTCTCTATCACCTGGTGGTTTTCTGTATCTTTGCAGAGCGGGCGTATTGTAAGTCGTGTAGTGTATGCATGGTGGCTTGCTGTGAACAATGATGTACTGGCTTCTGGCTGTGTCTATATCACCTGATGGTCTTTCACATCAACCGGGTACACGTGTACCTGGCACAACTCTTGCAACCGGGTCAGTTCCGGGTACATTCAAGTGCGGCTATTGTACATCAGGGAGTCTTAGGCCTTCCTGATTGAGTCCCACCTGGGTAACAAGTGACCCGGTGTTCTTTTTCCAAGCGGGTCCAAGTACCCCCCCCCCCCCCCAACCGGGTCACTGACCCAGCTGACCCGGCTCTGGAGCAGACACTACATGCAATACCTGCAACAACTGAACACACACACACACACACACACACACCTCAGACCTCAGACATGCCCATCGCGGAAGCGATGATAGCGAACAGCTATGTTAGACATAGCAACTTGTGCTGCGATTACACCATTCAACAGCTACACACACACACACAAACACACACACACACACACACACACACACCTGTAGGAAATCATTCATCAATCGAGTAGTGTACACCATATCCAAGAATCTATGTGTCCTGGTCACTTTCTTGTCTTGTGTTCGCGGATACTCTGCAGATTATTCCGTAGAGCGCGAGCACCGAGGTCTTCGACGCATCGCCGGCTACGGCATCACGGTGACGCGTGGCGCCGCCTCCGCCATGATGTTCACCTACAGCACCCTGCTGGTGACCATGTGTCGTAATTTTATAACTCGCCTCAGAGAGACGCCCGTCAACCGGTTCATTCCGTTCGACGCGGCACACACGTTTCACAAGGTAGGGCCAGGAAAGTAATTTGCGGACACGTTCGTGCTGTGTCTACTTCAGTTGACAGCTTTGCGTTACTATGAGAATGCAGACTTCTCCAGTCCCAAGGAGGTTCTTCTCACCCGAGTTGTCTGTGTTGTCTGTGTTAAAAAGTTGAGTATGCATGTCACATGTTATGTACGGGCTACTGCACTTTGTCTGTACACTGAAGCATGTCTTATCCAGACACCTCAGATGCGGGCATGTCTCTCTACCAGGCGCCTTCAACTTGAATTGAAAAGGCGAATGTGCTTCGATTTCGGGGGTTTTCCATGCCATGTGCGCAATGCTCATACATGTATTGTATAACTCTTGTCACTGCCAACCTGTGGTATCCACACATGTCGTCAATGCATTCTTTTTCTATGATGTACATGACTGTACAATATGCTGGAAATACACTACATATAAAACTGATGTGATACGTGAGAGATGAGTTGTTCTGAGCTACGGCCGAATCTGAGATACAGGCAGTGTCTGGTCCCAAGGCGCCCGGATAAGAGACGTTAGAGTGTATATCAAATTCTAAATTCAGCCATGTTGTATTCCATTGTGCGAATGCCACAGTGTACCGTAAGGACCGAGCTGTGTAGGCGTGACAGCTTCAAGTTCTCTGCTTCTCTTCACCAGGTTGTTGCCATGACAGCGCTACTCTTCACATGCATACACATAATCGGACACTCGATGAACTTCTATCACATCAGCACGCAGACGGCGGACGATCTCAGCTGCCTGTTCCGCAACTTCTACCATTACTCGGACGAGCTGCCCAAGTTCCAGTATTGGATGTTTGGAACGCTTACGGGTAAGGATGGCATTAGAGATTGAGAGATGTGTAGGTAGTGTGAGTGTCCATATGCACGTCGTGCTTGTCTATGTGTGTGCCGGTGTGCCTTTGTGTGTTTGTGCCCGGACGTGTGGGTGGGTGGGTGGGGAGGGGGGGGGGGGGGAGGTATTGTGAGGGACGGTACAGTGTGTGGAAGTACCATATTCGCCAGGTCCAAGCAGCACACTGTTGTTTTTAAGACCAAAATCGTGCAGAAATACCCGTTATTATGCCGCAAATTTCGTTTTCGTTTTCATGCTGAGCAAATACATACTGGAATTTGGCATTTAGCCTCAAAGATTGGGGGTGGGGGGGGGGGGGGGCGTTGTTGACCCTGGACTATGCCGTATATGTGAGTGTGTGTGGCATGCACCCTCATGGTGACCGCGTATTTGGGCTGTTTGTGCCGACACTGCTGCGTTGCCTGCAGGCATGACCGGGTTCCTGCTGACGCTGGTGGTGACCACCATGTACATCTTCGCGCTGCCGGTCGTGCGCCAGTACCTCTACTTCGTCTTCTGGAAGATTCACCAGCTGTACGTGGTGCTGTACATCCTGCTGATCCTGCATGGTACTGGCAAGCTGGTGCAGCTGCCCATCTTCCAGTGGTACTTCCTAGCACCGGTAGTGTGCTACACTCTAGATCGACTCATCAGTCTGAGTCGCAAGAAGGTGAGCAGTGTCGTGCATAGTGCAGACTCTCCACTGCATGCAGTTCCTGTTGTTGATGTGTTTTACACTCGTATCGCTCTTATCTGGCATGCGTTGGGAACAGGGGTCAGTCATGGTTATATTCTGTGTTCTGTGCCGTGTACCATTCCTCTAACAGGTGGAGATAACCGTGTTGAAAGCCGAGCTGCTGCCGTCGGACGTCACTCACCTGCAGTTCCGCAAGCCGGACAACTTCCAGCACAAGTCCGGCCAGTGGGTGCGCATCGCCTGTCTGGCGCTCTCCGGCAACGAGTACCATCCGTTCACGCTCACGTCGGCGCCGCACGAGGACACGCTCGCCGTGCACGTGCGCGCCGTGGGCCCGTGGACGCGCAACCTGCGACGCGTCTTCGACCCGGAGAGCGCGCGAGTGCACCGCAACTCCGCCGGCCAGGTGCGTTTGTTTGTTTCTTCTTTTTTTTGAATTTGTTTAGAGCGCATGCAATTCTGCCTTCTCAGCAGAGGAAAACCGTCCAGTTCCGACTAAGAATGAATAACATATTATGTAAAGAGAAAAGGACCTATAAGTTACTAGTTATGACTAACAGTCCACCAAGGTAACGAGATATTATACAGTCAGATAGTGCGACAACAAGGCACAAAACTGACAGGGATATTGAGACCTTCGACGATCTGACACCTAGTTCCAACACATCTACGAAGCACAAACCAACAACCTTCCAATTTAGAAGGCTCAGGTGCGGAAAGTTCAATGAGGGGAATATTATGAGAGAAGGAAATATTAGAAAGAATCATGACATGAGAATTCTTAAGTAAATAATTCCAATGGGTGTGTGTATGTGTATGCTTGTCAGGTGCTGCTGCCCAAGCTGCACCTGGACGGCCCGTTCGGTGAGGGCCACCAGGACTGGTACAAGTACAGCGTGTCCGTGCTGGTCGGCGGCGGGATTGGCGTCACGCCGTTCGCCGCCATCCTGAAGGACATCGTGCATCGCATGGCCACCAACGTGAAGCTGCCCTGCAAAAAGGCAAGTGCTCTTTGGTGTGTCGGTTGATGTAAAAAACTGTACAAGACTGAATGTTGCTGCTCATCCTTGTTTAAGTGTTATTTATGTTACAAAAACAGGCGCTGTGGAAATTATATTCGTGACAAAGCAGTGAATCGAATAGCCATCCTCAAGGACATTGTGCATCGCATGGCCACCAATGCGAAGCTGCCCTGCAAAAAGGCAAGCATTACGGGCCTTTTCTTCAAATTCTCGAATATTCCGAGTCCTCATTGAAAATTGACTGTCACCACCAGGACTCGAACCAGGGACCTCCGCTTGAGGCCAGCGATGCTCTAACCACTGAGCTCTGGTGATTGTGTGCTGATAATATTTTGAAGGAGAACGGTCTTTGTTTGCTCCCGTTGCAGGTGTACTTTCTATGGGTAACTCGCACCCAGCGTCAGTTCGAGTGGTTCACCGATATCATTCGGCTAGTCGAGGAGCAGGACAAGAAAGGCTTCATCGACATTCACATCTTCATCACGCAGTTCTACCAGAAGTTTGACCTGCGCACCACCATGCTGGTAAGACTCTTGGCCACTACCAGTGCGGCCTGGAAGATTGTCCTAGGTCACATAGCTAGTCACGTGACAAGTCACATGACAAGTCACATGACGAAACAGACAATCACATGACACATCACATGCTGTCACATGACATATTTGTGGCATGCAGCATGATGGCTTGCACTGATAAGATCATAAGACCGTCTCCTTGATATTTCGATTGAGTCCTGGCTCTGAATCAAGTTGCGTTCACATCAAGTTCTGCTCTGAATCAGGTTCCGTTGACATCGATACACTGCGTTAGCCACTCAACACGACTGATCACACAGCATGGGGTTGTGTTCCCCAAACAAGCAAAACAAAATGCACTGCATTAGCACTGTGTACATGAGTACTCCTACGCGTGACTAGTCACATGCATGATGTAGGTCATGTGACATGAACATGCCGTATGAAAACAACCCAGTGAACTGACTCGTAGCAATGATAGCATGCGATGTGTCATGTGACCACTGTGGGGAATATCCTGTGCTTGTCATGGGCTGCTATCACCATCATATTTTGTGCTGTTGGGCACATTGAAACTCTCTAATCCACTGTCAAAACAACTAGTGCCCTTTCAAGACAGATTTCGTGGCAAAATAGAAAAATAGGAAGCTTAACTACTTCCCCTGATTGTTTTGTGTAACTAGCCATCACACCTTTTTCCAAGATGCGAAGGCTCCACAGTTTCAGGCCCGTGCGCCGGTGCCCTTGAAGGGGGGGGGGTTCCGGGGGGCCTCCCCCGGGAAATCACGGTTTCAAAAAATGAAGCAAAATTCTGCATTTTGAGCGAAAAAAAGGGGGGTTCCGGGCACCCAGGAACCCATACGGGGCACGCGCCTGCCACTGTAGCCATATACTAAATTCACTTCACCCTCACTGCATTATTATTATTATTATCCAAAATATTTTGTGCCAGGCCAATCTTCAAGAATCCCATGCGCTGTTTCTCTGTTTTCATTTGCTCTCCACTGTCTGCGCATGTAGTACATCTGTGAGCGGCACTTTCAGAAGATCTCCAACCGCAGCCTGTGCACGGGCCTTCGCAGCATGACTCACTTCGGACGGCCGAACTTTGCCACCGTGCTGTACGGCCTCCAGGAGCTGTACAACGGCCAGGAGAGCAAGATCGGCGTGTTCTCCTGCGGACCACCGCCAATGACCAACGGTGTTCAGCAGGCCTGCGATCACTGTAACCAGTTCGAGGGGCCGCTCCTGATTCACCACTACGAGAACTTCTAGGTCGTAGTTTGGCGCCGACGTGCATTGTATCTGAAGAGTGTTGTCCGGAATGGCTATGGTGTGTTGTCACTGCCGCGTCAAGAGAGTATTTGAACGTGAGTGCACACTGGCAAGTGTAAACATACAGCCTAGTTGCTTGCCGCAGAGCCAATGGCGGGCTGATACTGTGAAACGCCCAGTGTGTCTGTACTGCCCTGCAACTTGTCAGGTTGGTACACACAGCGGCAAGCGCTATGCCGATGTCCAATGCTGCATCACCGCGGCTCAGTCCTACCGTTCTCATCGAGTTTACCCATTACGGTGCCCTGTATAGACACACATGCCTGTCACCTGACCTCAGTGTTTGATGTATGCCTGTCACGTGATGTGGTTGAACCAATGTATGCATGCCATGGTTGAGTTTAGAAGATATTATGGTTTATTCTGGATTTTAACTATTTCAGACGTACTACGCCGCACATAACCACCCCATTGTTGCCTCTGCTATGCCAACCGGTCTACTTATACCCAGGCCCCGTGCTATCTCTGCTCGTCTCAGTATGATGACGTCATGACCACGTATTGCCTCAGTATGATGACGTCATGACCCTGTACTGCCTCAGCTGGGTACTGCTACACGTACAATGTACGAGGGCTCTGCACGAGACCCTACGCGGTGATCATGACATCGTCGCTGTACACAGCCACGCAGTGCTCTAATTAAGCTAGACAAGACTATTCACCCGTTTACTCACCCCATATCCACTGCATTTATTTGAGTTATCTTTGCACAACTGTAGTTCCATGCACGCGCCGGTATGCATGTACAGAGATACAAACCATGTACAGTGCTGCTCAATGAAATCCGATCGCGAGAGTCCAGTACGCCTAGTGCGCTGCACCTGGGGACACTGCCGGGGATGTTCACAGGTGCAGGGTGCAGAGTTGACTCACCGCGGCAATGGGATTTCATTGAGCAGTGCTGTATGTACATAGTGGAATCCTGCTGCAGATAATGATAATAATAATAATATCAACCTCTGCTGCTTACCTTCTTTGCCAGTCCATTCTAAGTTATACTTAACTTTACATGGAGATTGTGTTGTGTGTGGTAGTCGGCTTGCATTGTACGTATATTGTGGGCAACTGGTGCCTCGTTGCAGAGAGGTACTGTATACGATTACGAGTACATGACATGTACATTGTACATCATGGTAAACATGCATCTGACCTTTCAAAGCCCATCATCCCTTCACATGCCCATGCCCATGCACTGCACTGAGTCTGTCGGAGAAGGCACGGCCAGGGGTACCACTAAGGCTCTCGTTGTTCTGTGGAGCCGCACTCGCATATCTTTGCCAATCATGGCATACTCCTTTTATTTCGGCTGAAACCAGTTTTGTCAAATTGTCCGAGTAATGACACTGTTCCAAAACTCACCCCACGAAGTTTCGTGGTCCGAAAATGCGGAACCTTTTCGATCTTGACAGGGGGGCCCAAGACTCTAGATCAGACTAGAGTCCTTGACGCGACGGTGGGTAGATCTACAGCGTAGATGGTGCTCGTTAATTACGTTGTAACTGACTCCCGACGAACCTTTTACTTTTTACTTGAAAGGCTGTCCTGTCCTGGCCAAGCTGTTATTTTCAGCGCCAGTGCTTGCCAAGCGCACTTGACATAACAGTTGAAACTCTGCCAACAAGCTTTGGGGAGCTATCGTGCAGCCTACAACTCAGTACAAGTACTACACGATCGTGCAGTCGTTGCAGCACTGCCACTGGCCCAGCTAGCTGGATAAGGCCAACAGGAACATGACCACGTGGTGAAGGTGTGATTTCGCGGGGAAACAGCTAGCTGCACCGTACCACTCACTTCGACTTGCTTGCACTACACAACTAGCTCTAGTATAGAGTATTATCTCGCAAGGCTTGAAGCCGTGCTGACTCAGCTCATGATGCTCACCACCAACGACGTCCTGGTCCGAGCCGCAGCCAGCATGCATGCAGCAGCACCCCTGAGCTGATAAAATGCACCGAATCTATGTGGTGGAGTTACATAGGGGACAGTGTTGGAAGAGGAAGCAAAGGCCATCTCTTTGTTTTCTTCCAAGTATTAGTTTTTCAGTGTTCCGTCCTGACTGCAGAGCTTCCCTACATTCTGTGTTCAGTTTTTGCGCTCACGGTTGCCGCCACCTGAAGGTGATTTCACTCAGTCACAACTAGAAATGAGACAAAAGCAACGTACTGATTTGCAACCGAGCAAGTGCTATTTGCTGGATAAGAAGGCCTGCTCCTATCGCCGCTTCATGCTGGTCAGCTAGTCTCCTCTGCACCAGGTGTTAACATTGTGTGATTCGCTTGGTGTAAGATCGAAACGTGTCGACCATTGGCACCCAGCTAAGTTCAAAATTGGTTTGATCTGCTGGGCCTAAACTATTGGCGAACTCAGCACCCGACTCCGGTCGTGTCCAATCAAACCGCGCACTGTCCACCCACCTCCTAGATCCTACACTCGGCGGCTAGAACAGTCGGAGGTAAAATCGAGTCGTGCTTCAAGAGCTTATGCCAGGATGAGTAATAGGTGAGTACTACTACTAGTAATTCGTCGCGATCCGCTTGTCTTTGCGATACGTTATGTCATGATAAACCGCCCAGTTCTGCAGCGTAGAGTTATTATGCATGATCTCGTCAGTGCAGTGGCTTGCTTTTCTTCACCTTAGTCTAAGACTAGTGCTGCGAACTGGTACTGCACTGGTAAGGTCTATTAGTATTACTAGATAAACCTTGGTAAGGTGTAGTAGTGACTCTATCCTTAGTCTTATTTTGGATTGGCTACTCGCACATGTGTGGAGTGGTCGTGACGTTTGCAGAGCAAATGGGTCCAGTCATACCATCACACAGATTGAGTGACACACAAAAACACAACAAGGTGACCTAGCGTACCCGGTACTTTATTTGTAGAAAAGGTAGCTTGCTGCGGTGGGCGATGGCTCCTTTCTTCTCTTTTCTGTTGTTGTTTGTGCAGTCCGGTGAGCTCTTTCAGAGGCAGCCCTAGCGGCTTACCTGTGCACAAGTTGGTCATGTCACGTGACAACAACAGTTTAACAGCTGGCACAGAGCAGGATGAACTTCAGCTGGTGGTCTCGTGCCATCACAGCAAGTCCAGCCCTCGGGCCAAGCCAACCATCACACCTTCGTCGTCCACAAACTCGTACGGTTTCCGCAGTCGCTACCGAGACAAGGATGCGGTTTACGTTCCTTCGGCTCGCGCGAGAAATGCCGAAGCCGGTAGCGTGCGATATCGGCGTTATTTCGGCCGGGGCAAGTTCGTTCTGGTGAAGTGGTTGAAGAGGGTACTTCGAATGAGTGGTCCTGTGCTGCTGGTGTTCGTGATTCTGGTCGGTACCTCGCCAGATAACACTCAACCAGCAGCGCGTCAAGATGTTCCTGCTTGCCCCACAGTCATGCTCAAACCTAGCGTAAGCGCTGGCAAGGAGCCTGTGGTTACTACGGCTACCAATGTTACCAAGGTGACCGAGATTACCAAGGTTACCAAGGTCGACGATCAACACGCGCACCCGCTGCAACCGTCGCTGCCGCCAATCTCCAGCGTCGCACCTGCCGGCACGTGTGAGTCAGCTTTTGTGAACGCTTCCACGGACAGTCCTGGTCAGCGCGATGGCGTAGTATCCGTGACAACCTCCGCTCTCTCGACCGTACCCAGGATTGGGAATACCAAGAGGAAATTTAGCATGACAGGAAAGTGTGTGAGTCCCAACAAGCTGAAAGACATCGGTATCCATCCGTTTTCCAACAGCTCCTGGCTACCCACTGATGTCGATGTGTCTGATATGCACAACTTCGTCGGGAGCTTGGGCATAGTCTAAACAATACAACCGCCACTGATGTGCTTGTTCCACACCACCGCCCTGCCAATGCTTGACACTTGCAAGGAGCACTAGTAGTGTGGGAGATGTGAGCCGCTGCCACTGAGCCAGGTGTCAGTATGCAATGACATCGCTGTGTTGACATCACGTGTGTGTGTGTGTGTGTGTGCGTGCGTGTGTGTGTGTGTTTGCGTGTGGTGTGTGTGTGTGTGTGTGTGTGTGTGCGTGTGTGTGTGCACGTGAGTGTGTGTGTGTGTGGTGTGTGTGTGTGTGTGTGTGTGTGTGTGTGTGTGTGTGTGTGTGTGTGTGTGTGTGTGTGTGTGTGGTGTGTGTGTATGTGCGTGCATGTGTGTGTGTGCATGCATGTGTGTGTGTGTGTGTGTGTGTGTGTGTGTGTGTGTGTGTGTGTGTGTGTGTGTGTGTGTGTGTGTGTGTGTGTGTGTGTGTGTGTGTGTGTGTTTGTGTATTGTACAAGTATGTTTTCAAACTTTCCTGTCCATTGATTAGATCGGATGTGTTTGCAGCTGCATTTATCAGCTATCAGCATGCAAGGCTTGTTTTTTTCTAATTTTGGCAGTCTCTGAATGTTATCTTTGAGGTTCGTGCAACTTGTTTGTTCACATCTGAGCAATAATTTATGGCCTTCCCTATCAGAGAACATTATTTTGGCATGGCTATTAATAATATAATACACATGTACTTCTGTATTGGCCTGGAGGGGTGCATTGCAAGTGTGAAGAGAATGGTTACTGCAATCATGCGAAAGAAACACGAGTACACCTGATGCTTGAAGTACACCTGTAAGGCTGTAGCATGATGATTGCATACTATTACTATCATGTAATGTCCGCCTCACTAATACAATTCATCGCTGTAATACCAGCATGAAACTCAGAGTTGAAACCGTTACTATCTTGGTGGCTGAAGTTGTTGTTCTGTGTACACTGTATATTAATGCACTCTGCCTCCCCGGCATTGAGCACTCTCAGCATACTAGTGCAATGTACTGGTTGCATCCCAGTCTGGTAAAAACAAGTACATATACGTGTATTATGTGTGCTTGAATCCAATGTCAAACTCTGCAACCATCGCCACCTTCTTCCACGGTGTGTTCGAATAATAATTGATTTGGAGACCATCGCCATCAGTCAGCCTGGGGAGTGCATTGTTCTGTGTGGTGCTCAGGATAATGCAAACCAGCTAAAGACAATAGCCGCGGTAAGTACCTGCACCACTAAAACTTAAAAAAGTAAAACCAAGTGGCTCAGGCCTAGTAGTAGTACTAACGACTGAGTAATGCTACCATGGTTACTCTACTCGCTAGCTCTCTGCTCGATCCCTGGCCTGCTTCACAAACCTGCTGGGTCACGGCCACTCTGAGCACTCTCCCCAAATCATGGCAAATGTAACTGTTGCTGGGACTCACTAGACTGCGGTCCGGATGATGGACTCTCCAGGGATTTCCCCTAGAACTCATTGGCCCGAGAGGAACTACAAAATTACAATGTCAGCAGTATTCTGTTACTTATAGATTCATGAATATCTCCGCACATATGCATTCATTACTGTTGCCAGTGATGGTACTTTTCTGTGGGTTGGCATGGCATGCATGTCTTTCATCTCGACCTCCCAATCAATATCATTCTGTCAATCACATGACCCATTTTTCGCCCGCCATCAGCTGATTGCCTGATTACATTTACAGGTCCCGAAATACTTCCACCATATGACATCGGAAACGGACAGGTCGTTTTTGCCCACACACAGAATTGGGTGCAAGGACTTACTGTAACATGAAAAATCGTGTACAGCATGGGAAGAAGATGGATTGGTGATGGCGAGATGCCAACGCTTCCACACTGACTGACAGCCTGCAAGGCTGGCTTAGGCTGCATCCTTCACCACTGTTCACGGCGCTGAGCCAAAGAATGTCACCATGCGCTTGTATTCTCGTTCACGGACCATCACCATGATCACGGTTGTGCATGCAATGCCATGCAGCTGCGTTTCCTCGTTTCCTGATTTGTCGGCTACAGTACAGGTACATGTACATTGTATGTCCGT